AAGGATACCGTCATGTAGGCCTCGTAGCCCACAGTGTTTATGCTTTTGACACGCCTACTCTTGTGACACGCCCACTTTGATTCCGCACATAACTGGCAGAGGGGGCACGGTTTTCCTCCGCGTCAGCAGGAGGCGTGTCGATCGGGTACTGCRAGCTGTATTATTGGTTTGCCAACGGAGTCCTTCCGCTTTGACTGTAGCCGAGCTGTCACCGCTGGAGGATGAACAACCAGAAATGTAGCACTTTATTCCTGAAACTAAAGGGACGGAGGAGGATTATACGATGTATTTATGTGGTGGGCTTCATGGTAAGTGACTTACTGTGGACATGTTACTTTCACCTGTTTGAATGAACATGTATGATTTCACGAGAGCTCAAGCATGAACAGAGGTCACTGTTTTAGGAGCTATTAAACAGTGTTTGCTAATTGAAAATAGGATTAATGCAGCTTGAATTAATGGATTGAACAGAAAATAAATATATTTTTCTTAAATTATTCACTGCAAAATATCTATTAAATGTAAATAGCAGCTGAAAGTTAATTTGGTCAGTGTAACAGCATCAGCTGACACTGGTTTAACATGCCTTTAAAAAATCAAACCCTCTCAGCTCATATAAAAATGTAGTACAAATAGTGTATTTTTGGCTACAGTTTATATTTAGGACATGGTAAGTTTTCATGGTGTTGAGTTTTACCTTCACTATTATTCAACAAGCTGCACAGCAGATTAGTGGTGCATCCTTAAATACACATTTAAAACAATTACAGTAAGTTCACAAATCAGACAACCTATCTCAAAAGCAAGTACAGACCATTCTAAAGTAGTTGATGTTTTGAAGACTGACCAGCAGTCATGCTTCCCAGAATTAACCATGTTCACCATTTAATTAAAGATGGCTAAACTGATTCAGGCATCTCTGGTACAGCTGAGACAGTAACGATGCTTAAAGTTCAAACATTGTTGGAATGAACTGTGTTAGATCACTGGATGAGCCGCAGTGTGTCCTCAATTAGGTGTTTCACTGCTACGATTTCAGCAATGCAGAAAAACAGGATGAGGGAGGACTTTTTGTAGCTGCTGGGTGTATTTTTTTAACTGTACTGAGCTGAGGACCCCAGCTATAGATTATTTAGATTGATATATGATATAATTTATGAACTTAGCCTATCTGGACGTGAGGTTTCTCTGTGATTTCTGCCTTAAGCAGAGCTTAAAACAGCAAACTGACACACCCACATCTTTTATTGCACACTGTTCACTACATTGTTCCGTAAAGGTTGTGTTTACCAATTTGTGTTAACAGAGCTATTATTAAACTATTATTAGACTGACCTTCAAAATGACTTATAAATGTAAAATGGTTTGGTCAGAGTTACATAGAGTAACTGGTTACAGGCGTACTTCAGAATCTTGATTGTAATTTATCTTATTCTTAATCTTGTGTTGTTGTCATTCAAACCTGAGTACYCCTATCCAGCATGTTTTACTTGTTTCCCTGCTATTCAGCAGGTCTTCAGAAGATTGTTAATCACTCATTCATTCAAACCAGGTGTGTCAGCAGACCAGACATTTTACTAGAAATTAATCGTACATTATTCAGAATACAAAGGATGGTGTTAACTGTTGTTTTTCTCTGGGTACCAGCACATACACTCACCGGCCACTTTATTAGGTACACCACGCTAGTAACGGGTTGGACCCCCTTTTGCCTTCAGAACTGCCTCAATTCTTCGTGGCATAGATTCAACA